ATATATACATATATATATACATATATGTACATATATATACATACATATAAGAGTGTGTGTGTGTGTGTGTGTGCGTGTGCCCTACCCACCGATCCACTTCAGGCGAACGAACACGTCACAGGCGCTGATGCAGACGCTCCAGTCCAGGGCCTCGTCGTCCGTCCGCACGGCCACGCGGAGCTCCTCGATGGTGCCCACGAGACTCGCCAGAACCGCAGGGCTCGTGGCGCGCCCCGTGAATTGGGTGAGGCTCTTCCTAAGGGGCGGTTGAGGATTACTTCTTTACCTAGACAGACGTAGTGCTTATGGCTTGATATCATTTTCATTTTTGTTTATTAATGTCGTATTTATTCATTTCTATTATTCCCAATGCTATTGTTATTACTGTTATTATTGGCACTATCATTATTACTACTATTATTATTACAGTCATTATTATTACCTTTGTTATTATTGAAATTGTAATAATATATTCACTACTACCATTATTATTATTGTTCCCCTTAACTTTATTTTCATAATCATTTTTATTGTTATTATCAGCATTTTCATTGCCTTCTATTTTATAATTAATGGTAGAATTATCCAAATTATCATAAATTTTAGCATTATCGTTATTGCCACTATTACCGGCAATAATAGTAGTAGTAGTAGTAGCAATGTAATTATAATCATTATTTTCTCTTCCCAGTGTTCTTATTGTTAATATCATTCAGTTACAATTATCATTGTTATGATAATAATAATTGTTAGTGTTATTGATGAAATTACTGTCATTGTCTTATTATTACTGCTACTACTGATATTATTCTGTCATCATCATTATTTTTTAATCATTATTTTTCTTTTTTCTTGTTACCTTTGTTGTTATTGTTGCCTTTATTATACTGTTATCATTTTATAATCAAAGTCATTATCATTTTTATTACTTACATCATTATCATTTTTATCATTATTACCATTATTATCATCATTATTATTGTTATTGTTGTTGTTGCTGTTGTTATTATTACCGTTATTATTATTGCTAGTATTATCACTGTAATAATAATTATTATTACAATCATTATCGCTATTTTTTTGGTGATTATATCATTTTATTTTTATTACTATTTTTTCATTATTATTATTATTATGATCATTACTATTATTATTATTATAATTATCGTCATTATTATTAGTAGTATTAGCATAAACATTATTATCATTATTATTCTTTATCATTATTATCATTATCTTTTATTATTATTATTATTACTACTATTGTCATTATTATTATCATTATTATTATTATTATTATTATTATTATTATTTTTATTATTATTATTATTATCATTATTATTATCATCATCATCATCATTGTCATTATTATTGTTTTATTAGTATTAATACCATTATCATTATTATTATTATCATCTTTATCACTATTACCATTACCTGTTGTTGTTTTTATTATCATTATCATTATTATTGCTATTATAGTTATTGTTATTATAATCAATATTGCTGCTGTTGTTGTTATCATTATCATTATTGTAATTATTGTTATCATTATCATTAATAATAATAATATAATTATTATTATTATTACTTTTTTTTATTATTATTATTGTTATTATGATTACTATCAGTATTTTTGTTGTTGGTATTGGCTTTGTAGTTATCATTTTGTTATTATTATGATTATGAATATTATTATTGTTATTATCACTATCATTATGAAAACCTCTTTTTTATTTTTCATCAATATTATTATTACTACTACTACTACTATTACTGTTATCATTATCATCATTATCTTTATCATGATCGTCATCTTTATCATCATTATTACCATTATTATCATTATCATTGCTATTGTTATTATTATCATCATTATTATTATTATTAATATTATTATTATTATTATTATTACCATTATTACCATTATCATTACTGTTATTACTGTTATCATTACTATCATTTTTATTATTATTATTATTATTATCGTTATTAGCCTTATCTTTATCATTATTATCATTATCATTATCACTATCATTATCATTATCAGTATTACTAATATTAATTTCATTTTCATTATTATTATGATCCTTATAATTATCATTATCATTATTACAATTTTGATATTCATTATTATCATTATCAGTATCACCACCATGAATGTCATTATCAATATCAAAACCAAATTCATAATTAGCATACTAATATCAGTACAATCTTTATTACTGCTCCTACTAGCATTGTTGTAAACAGAAAGTCAGAGTTAAATCCGAGTGACTCACTTCCAGGTGTGTTCAAGGTAATATTCCCATTCTTGTGTCTCATTCAACGAAGACCGTTGTAATGCTCGCAGAATCCCATCCGAGGACCCGCTCTTTGGCTCCCGCCAGTGGCTGTGCAGGTGCAAGCGAATCTCGCAGCCTTGGGCGAAAGCGGAGCCCAGGAGATCGGCCAGGTGGGGCAGGTCCTTCGGTTCCTTGAAGAGCTCAATGGAGAGCACTCGCGGGCACCTGTGAGCGATGAGAGTGGCCGCTGCCCGTTCCTGGTCGTCGCGAACTATCCATGAAATCTGACACACGAATCTGGCCACTTCCTTTGCCACTAGAGCGTCGTAATCAGTTTTCTTAAGAAGATCGGCCCATTGATCGAAAAATAAGTCTCCGGAGTCGTTTAAGAGCCCAACGATCTCCTCAACATAATGGAGAAGCAAGTAGGAAGTCTGGTAGCGCAAGAGGCCGACTAGGTGCTGCAGGAGGTTGGTGTACTTCCCTTTCTCCTGGAACCTGACCGGGCAAGTTTTCCCAAGCAGTGTGCTTATTCTTTTCCGCTCACTCAGTTCCGAGGCCCACGATGCGATTTCTTGTTTTTCATAAGATGAAATGTGAAATTTGCTAAGACATTTCTCTAGAGCCTCCAAAACTTGTGCTCTGTTCTTCGCCAAATTCTCGTTGCTAATGATCGACAGAATGTGTTGAGCTCCATAAAATTCTTGTATGCCTTTATGAGGAAATCTGTGCCTTTCCACATACTGTTCCCCCGACGACGTTAGTTCAACCACCAGAAAAGAGGACATCATATGCTTAGCAGCAAGCCCAGTTTCGCTACATACCTCCAGCAGCCTATTCACATGCTCTTGGTCCAGATATAGCATATTACAACTCAAGGTAGCGAAAGAGAATTGGTACAGGACATCGAGAAATTGCTCGCATCTGCCTTTGATTTCTTCACTCGGGATGTAGTCAATGTCCGGGTCATCTAGCAGCCTCCTGTGTAGTTTCTCCACTATCAGAGAATGTACTTCGGCGTACAGCACCGTTACACTCGTGACAGCGTTGACAGATTCGGGTCTAGTTGCCCATAGGTACGTAAACAGTACGAGGTTCAGTGGATAGACGAAAAAATCATTCAATTGCTGTGGAGCGTTTTCAACATATTGTACAATGCTGTCCGTATTCCCTGCACTCATCCCTCGCCGCTTAAGCTCCTCGTGGTATTGTTGTACGAATTTCCCTCTTTTGTTGCTGGGGATGCCAAGCAACTTGAAGTAATTTATTGTTAAATCACTCGAAATCATTCCGGATATTTCTTTAAGCTTTTCTGATCGAGTCGTACAAATCACTGATATATCTGAATTTCTTTTTACATGGATGATTTCTTTAAAAAATCGTTTGGATGCGCTGTTCAGTTCGTCTAAACCGTCGATCAGCAGGAGGACTTTGAGGCCCAGCAAACACCGAACCAGGTCTGACTTGTGAAATCGAGTCGAGGTTAAGGGCATCTGAGAAACCAGGAAATCGGCCAGAGAGTCTTTGTAAGGATTGAGGCACTCGAAGTATAACACGAGATGATAATCTGACAATTCCTTAATTATATTTGTCTGTTTCTTCCAGTCTGACATTATGAACTTCAACAGAGTAGTCTTTCCGGAGCCTGGATCACCTTCCACAAGGTGTATTACACGTTTTGCCTGTATGCTCTGTTGACTAGAATTAATGCTATGGTCATCTGGGTAATTATTTGTTTCATGACTGTACACCAATATGTCTCTGTAGTCTATAGCTTTTCGCTCTCCGGACTCGACTGAATATATTTGTATGTCGATGAACACTCTGTCGACTTTCAGATGACAGTCGCCTCCGCTGATGAAGGAAACTGGATTCAAGTTTAGAAGATTATTCCTGCTGAAGATTTTTGCAACTTCCTTTGCTCCGTCGGTTGACATGATTTCCCTGAGGTCCTCAAAGAGCAAATCGTTTTGGTACTGGAGGACGTCCGTCTGAGCAAACGGATGCTCTCTGATAGCTGTGATCGCGTCGCTGACCTGCTTGATCAGGGCGTCCACTTCCGACTGCTGGACACAGTACAAGTCCCTGCCAGCCTTTAGAGTGGTGACCAGAACGTCTCTCAGTTTCTCCAATCTTCTAACTATCTCGGAGTTGCTGATTTCGTGGTCGTTGTGGGCCAAGTTGTTACGGGAATTTTTTATGTAATTCACAAGGAACTCGAGGCGTGAAAAGTCTTCAGACGTCCAGACGCTATCGGAGGCTGGCGCGACGCCGGCGCAAGTATTCTGGATGAGCTTGTACAAGAGGCTGATATCGAACTCGTCGCCGCGGCTGTGGCATTTGAGCTTCTCCCTCTGTGCGCCGTCGAAAATGGTCTTGTATTTCTTGCTGGAGAAGCCGAGATTCTGGAGCAGATAATCCTCGTACGTTACTTCTGGAGCCTTCTGGCACCCCCAGTTGAGGATGGTGAGCATAACGCATCGCGCCGGCCCCCGATGGGCTTTGTATAATCTAAAGGTATTGTGATCCTCTTGCTGGATCCCCGTGCTTAGTCTGGTCAGCGCCATCTTCACCGTCAATCATAAACCACTTCGGACCATATTTCTCAGTGTCAGTTTTCTATATCTTGACAATAACCAAAAACACATTCACTGAATTGCATCACATTCCCAACTTGGACCGCTTTCGCTTTACCTTTTTAACATGTTAAAAAATATGTATATAATTTCACACATCTTCTCGTTGATTGGTCGCACAGTCATTCATATCACCAAATCACCCACATGCGTTACAGAACTTACGGTCACACTGACAAGCGAAGGAACAAGGAGAGATTCGCCAAGACAGAACAGCGCGCTTCGGCCTTAAACAAGTGACTCCTTGTCAAACCTTTCGGGATATCAACACACGGCATCCGGTTTTCTGTTTCCTGACTGACGTCCATATGTGTGTGTGTGTGTGTGTGTGTGTGTGTGTGTGTGTGTGTAAATACTAAAAAAATAAACGCATAATTTACAGTCTGTTCCACAAGAAAAATAATCACGTTTTTAGCATACCCTACTTTGCTAAATACACTAGAAGCATACGAACTGAAAATGAAATTTTCCTACCTGTCGAAACTAAAAAGAAAAAACATACAAATAAATATTTCCCCAAAGCAAAATGAGTTATTAACATATTTTATTTGTGCTCTTCACTCTCGTGTCCTCTCTCTCCCTCCCACTCTTTATTTATAACATAAACATGTGCAATGCATTAACAATTATAGCTATGATCATTCCCATCCGCAGGCCCTCAAGCAGCACCATTTTGCCTCCAAGGTCACTTCACTCTGACAGAGGCAGAAATACATCCTGTGTAAGAATATACGTTCAGTAACTCTGTAATCACCAACTTGTTCAGGTCTAGCTACCACATTCAAAATTCGGAATCGTTAAACTACTATCTGACCATCCTGCCGTCAAAGCATATTTTGGGTTTCTTGTGTATACTAATGATTTCAAGTGAGGCAGCTTCAACTCATCACCCTCTTTGATATTCTGTGATCTGCATTGAAAATGGATTCTGATTCCCTTTGCCTCTGAGTGTGCACTCACTTAGCATCTAAAAATACACGATTCCATAATTACTTCTATTCGCTATCTGTGAAGCCAATCTCTTATCAAAATATTTTATTTAAAAACCTTGGCGTTCACGCAATTCTACAGTAATTTCCATATTCACCTTTTCAAGAGGTCAATTTTAAATTGAAGACTGTTTATTAATCTCCATAGTTTCTCAACTTCTCGATATTTATTTTCAAGTAAACACTACTCCCAATTATTTTTAAATTCTAGTATCTACTTTTGATATGGTCGGTCAGGGAGTGCCTTCCCCAAGATAAATATCAAGAGTGAAGTCATACTAACAGAAAGGGATCTTGACAATATTATGGTACCTCACCCTTTCCTTGAGAAAGGTTGTACACAAACCCAACCTTTCACCCCTTCAGCACGACTCTTACACTTTAGGATGTGGACAGACGGGGATGAAGAAAAGGAAAAAGAAAGGGGAAAAGTAAAGACCATGCAAAATTAGTTGAGGTGAGGGCTGAGGTCCAAGGCAGGGGTGATCCCCCACATTGGGCCTCAGTCCCCGTCTCCAAAGCATTTTACTACATTTTTATTATCACCTGTAATATTTGCTCACTCTTGTCAAATTATTTTTTTGTACTTGAGTTAAACAGTGAAAACCCTTATGGCTGATTTGCAACTCCAGCCACTTTTAAATTTCATTTTCACTCTAGATCAATGAATGTCATGATGCATAGCCTAATACACTTACATCTTGCTCAAGCATATTTAACAGTAATAGCTTTATCCTTATAATCCTTATATTTCCTTTATCATTTTTATTTCCATCCTTATAATCCTTTTATTTCCTTTATCATTTCTTTTTCCTAATTTAATTTGTCTATATTTCTATATTTATTCATTTATTAAAAGTTACCTCTTATTTATTCATTTACTAATTCATTCATTCATTTATTTATCTATAGCTTTCTTCCTTACTTTTCATTTTCTTTCTTTCTTTTCTTCTTTCTTTCATTTGTTCTTGCTCACTTCCATTTTCCTTCCTTCCTTCCTTCCTTCCTTCCTTCCTTCCTTCCTTCTTTCCTTCCTTCCTTCCACCCTTCTTTAATTCTCCCTTTTTTCCTTAATCCTTCCCTAACTCACTCCATTTTTAACGTCTTACTCATTCTCTTTCACTTTCATTTATAAATTTAACAAGGGAAGAAATCTGGTTAAAATAAAAGAACAAATCATGTTGTATCTTTATACATAGAACATTATTGACAATATACTGATGTAATTTGTAATCTGAAGAGAGAAAATGTTAACAGGTAAAAAATATAGTATAAAGTCAACAATGCAATTAATATTAAATTAATATTCACCTTGATTAAGTGTTAATTGACATATTTAAGTATTAAAACAAATTAATTACTATTTCAGAATTAATGTATTTCTAAATAAATTTTGTAAAAGTCAGAAAATACACTTCCAGATCCAATTGCTTTTTTTTTCTTGCAAAACAAAATCTAAATTTAATTTTAAACAACTGCAGTGTTTCCATACCTAAAAAATTCAGTATTTATCCATTGCGAGCAAAACATCTCCCGTCCCTGCAGCCGCATTTCTTGGAACAAATATCAAGAGAAATAGATCTACACCTCAACTTAACATTCTTATGAGTTGGTTCAATTCTAGCCAAAAATTCATGTTCAATTCCTTTGAACGATGATATTTCTTTGAAAATAATACATTTAAATATTTTCTACAAATCTAATACTGCTTGTCAAGCATAACATCAACTAAAAGTAACAATATAAATAATCAACAAAACATAAAAGAGACAATAGGGTATATAAAGGTAACCACAATATTTACAACGTCACAGCTATGTCTGACAGTTTCTCAACATAGAACACAAAACCACAACCTCATCTCAATTCATTGTTAAGCTCTGTTTAAAAGTTAAAAAATAATCAACTCCTGCATACATAATGCAAGCAAATTAAATACAATAACAGTATATTCTATTCTTTGGTATTAAGTGCAAGTTTATCTTTGATTCCCTGGAAGAGCATAAATCGGTTTCAACATTATATCACAAAAAAGCACTTCAAGTAAATCCTCCTGCCTATCACAAAGCAGATCTCTGGAGCTCTAATCTTAGCAAAGAGGACTGGTGAAGAGGTGCGTGTAGAACTCTGGCTCATTCATTTCATATCTGTATTTCTGGACCATCTCCTGGATGCGAAGCTTGCGCTGAACATGTGGAGGTTGATAGCTGTTGAAAATTAGCTCAAATTAGTCAGAGACAGCTGTCAGAGAGAAACTTCAAAGATGATGTAGTAAAATGATAAATTTTATATCTATTACTATAAACTATTATGAGTTTATAAATGAAATCTGTTGAATATCTTCAATTAAGAATTAACTATAATATTCACTGATGGATGATGTAAAGCAAATACACATATATATGCACACACATGTATTCACTTACCCAACTTAACTGGTAAGTTTAAATTAACGAAAACTGTCACCTACCTATCACTCTCCAGCCGTTTGCGTCTGCACATATTAAGAGCTGTCTGTCTCACCAAAGTCCCAAGAACACGCCTGCTCACAACCTGGCCATCCACAAGTGGTCCAGCCATGCTCAATCTGTTAAGAAAAATACTGCTTTGTCAGAACTAGGCTGCAAAATTGTAAAGAAAACTTTTGAGTCCAACTCCACTCCAACTTCATTTTAAGGTACCACAAATTTTGACTTGAAGCTCCTTAAATCATGTCCAAACGAGTTAGTGAATCTGAAAATTTCAACACAATGCAATGTGCATCTATTTGGCATCAGAGTTGGTATTAACCCTACTCTGAATCAAACTCAGCCTCTGACTGCAATACAATAACTGCTCCCAACTCTAAACCTACAGTAACTTCCCTGTTCATGCTTAGGAAAAAAATAAAAATGATTACAAATAGAAAAAAAATACTGCACAACCATAAGGAAACTGAAGGCATCGTACAGCCCTATTTAGATAACAATGTCAATAATAACAAAAGAAAAATAACAAATAGATTTTTTTAGCAATTTTGTTTCCAAAAATATAGATCTACAAGTGATTAGTCACTTGATTTCACCTGTTTTACCCATATATATATATATATATATATATATATATATATATATATATATATATATATATATATATATATATATATATATATATATATATATATATATATATATATAATATATATATATATAATATATATATATATAATATATAAATTATATATATATATAATATATATATATATATATATATATATAATATATATATATATATATTATATATATATATATATATTATATATATATATATATATATATATTAATATATATATTATATTATATATATATAATATATATATATATATATATATATATATATATATATATATATTATATATATATATGTATATATATTATTATATATAAATATATATATATATATATATATATATAATATATATAATATATAATATATATATTATATATATATATATATATATATATATTATATATATTATATTATATATATTATATATATTATATATATATATATATATATAATATATATATATATATATATATAATATATTATATATATATATATATATATATAATATATTATATATATATATATATATATATCAACAGGTGAAATCTGGTAGGTCTGCTACCACTACAGAGCCACTACTTATACAAATGTGAAACAGTAAAAGGAACGAAACAAAAATGTGCAATCCTATCATTAACAGCTTAAAGGAATTCACTCAAAATAAACAATATAATAATATAATTTAACAAACACTTACTTAGCATTCTGACCCTGTAGTTTAATCCTGAAGAGTCCATTTGTGAGAGCATGAATGAATATAATATATATGACAGCTTCCTTTTCCTTCCAGGAGCTTGACTCCCTGCCGGTTACTTTCAGGAAGCAATTCATCTGGAAGGTTAGAAATAACAAATATTTAACATAACACTGAAAAGCATCTTACGTAAGAAATTTATTCTGTATCTATGTATGAATATTTAGCCAGTGCTTTGGTTTAAAATCATATGTGAAGGAATAAAAAAAAAAAACATACCACTTATAGCAAAGATTTATACTCGACAATCACTGACATGAAGTGCACAATCAGTATGTTTCCTATTACCAAACCTTTCACTATTTTACATATAGTTCTATCACATACCAATTCTTCGATGAATGTAATGTTATGAAATACTGTATAAAATATAATAGAATTACTGATACCAGCAATATTTACAACAGCCTTTTTGGCTGTAAGTTACAATAGTTTTTATTGTTATTAGCATCATTTTACTGATTAACATAAGGTCAATTTCATTATGAATTTCATTAATGTAAAGAAAGCAACAATGAATAAATGTGTACACATATATGTAGGCTTGTTTGTGCATGCTTAAGGGGACCGTCCTGGAAAATGGCCACCTTTCCCTACTCTTTACATCATAAAAAATATCTGTTAGAGATAACTGATTGATTCTTTTTGCATGATATAGAGTAAAGAATTGCCTCCGTTATATATATATATAAATTTTAACTTTGCTCCCCATTGGGGGGGCACCCCAAAAAGTCGAAAAAATTGCTGTTTTTTGTATGTCTTCGTACATCCCAACTATCACAGTTCTTTACAGAATATTCCCCAAAAAATACTTGTGTTAGGTCAACTTTAGCCTATAGTCATGGGAGATGGTCCTGGGTGTTTATAATTTTCGAGGAGGATCATATGTACGTGAACGCACGCACATAAAGTTAAAAAGATTAATCATCAATCATTTAGTAGGCCTACATTGACTTTCATATCTAAATAATAAAATATATTAGTTATCCCTCTCATACCATTTTCTTTGATAATTGTCAATATTAACAGATTGCAAAGGAGAACAAGTGTAAAGTTTATGATTAGCCATTTGCACCCATTATCTTTACTAAGAAGTGCATAAAATCATGCAGACGCCTAGGTGTTGTGGGATATTTGCCAATTTATGGTGCCTAAGACTTACGGTAACGTCTAAACATATTCATTTTTATCGGGAACGCACGAAACGGATGCGATAGCTTTTTGAACGCCAGACGAAGACTACGCATACAACCGAGCTCAAAATTCCATATAGTTTTTATTTCAGAGCAGGTATTACTGAGTACTATCATCTTCAACATGAAATAATCTGTATCTCGCTTATACATCCGAAGTTTAAAAATCGACATTTAGGTAACATTCGTATTGAATTGGTCTTTACAACGGTAACTACCAATTTCAAATCAATTCAAATTGCCCCCTGCTGTGATGTACCGACCGTTGAGCGAAATGTAACGGAAATATTTCAATCCTTCCTTATAAGGCTATTTTTAAACATTAGTGCTTCGTATGTGATATACGTATATATTACCACGTAAACTAAAACATATTACCAGGGAGTCTCGATCAAAGCATATTTCGTGTGTAAAAGGACACAAAACATACATTTTTTTTTAGATATATTTCACAAAATATTTCGTCATAAATCACGGTGATATAATTTTTTCCTGATATTGGTATAAAAGTGTTCCTTGAACATTCACGAACTCATATCTATGCGCAATGTCATAATTAAATGCCTTATGCACGATTGCCGCAAGCAAAAGTCCACATAGGTGTACCTGGGCGCTCATTAGCGACGTACCTCTCCAGGTGCTGAGGGACTCGCGCGCCGGCATCAAGACAACGAGCCATAACAGGCGCTTAATACTCGTTTGGTAGTTTCCTCATCCATGTACCTATACTATACGCTAACTAACTCAATTTAAACCCCTTCCCCCCCTCCATCAGGGACGGTCCCTTAACGTTTGTCTACACAATACAATTTCAGAACACTCCAAGAACAATTTCACTATAAATTGTTATGAGAGTTGGTTGCTTAGATGACTTTAACAATTATTATAAATGATTATGTGGTTTTCTTTGAACTTCGTCTGTTTAATGGAACTACAGAAAAACATCAGCCCTAAACTAAAGTGATTAACAATTTCATGTTAATTATTTTATGAAAATAGTCATTAAAATTATTTTTCATTTAAAGTGATAAGGAGCTAAACATATAACCCAAATCCAATTACTTACCATCAAAAATTAAATGTTTAAGCTTCTGTCATGAATAAGACAATATTCACTTACTTGCTGGAAAAGTGTAGCAGTCATCAAAACTCTCCAGCCACACAACAAACACTTTGTGGTCACTGCAAGCCATAGCACTTGTCTGTCTCCCAAATTTCCTATTCCTATTTTCACCATGTCCAAAAGAAACCTGAAAAGAAAAGGGATGCAAAGAGTCACATACTTGAACAAAAGCTTGAGCTTGAAGAAAAATTACATAATTATAAAAAAAAGAAAAAAAAATGGAGAGCAAAGGAAAAGATTACCATACCTTCTAACAAGAGACTCAACAGGACTCACCTGTGAAGTGTGTGAAGAGAGGGATGAGCCTGCATCAACATCTGGATCATAAGAAGGAAGGGAGTCAGAGCGCTCACTCCCAGATCCACCTCCACCTCCTGCAGCAACCTTTTCATTTGGGTCAAGGACAATCCCACCTGAAACGGTCAATGACACTTACATATGGTGCACAATAAGCAAAATAAATTTAACATGTATCAGTATACAAACAGTAACTGTCTTCCCAAATAAAAAAAAATGGTAACAGGAAACTATATAACACCAATATGAGCATCTTATGAGAAAGATGGTGCCTTCAGAGGGCTGTATTTTCGTAATTCACTTACCAGGACTGGAAGTACTCCCTAAGGACTGCTGACTGCCTTGATTCTGTTGAGCTATGGCAGGAGACGGCACCACAAAGGCTACCTCACTCAAAGCATCAGACCAATAAAGGACATGAGAACGGCCACTGAAGCAGCTGCCTCCATGATTCAAGTCAGCCATTACTTTCAAGGTAGGAAGAAAATAATAACATGAAAGCCTTTAGAACTACAGCAAGAATTCTAGTTATTAATTTTAAGTACTTTTGTCAGTTTATTGTATCTGTTGTGTATTCTAATATTGTCTAATACAATGGATCATTCTTCAAAATTTTATATTGATTTGCACACCATTTACACTTTTTTTTTATACTCAAGGAAAAAAATTATGGATTGCTATTCAACTATGTGGCAAGTTTTTCTTCTTCCTTTTCAGATATCTTTATTTTTCTATAATCATTAGCAGCCAAAAATACAATCTAGGAGACTTTCAATCAACAATACAACTATAACTTCTGTCCAACAACTCCAACAACATTAACCCTAAAGAACTGCAAGCCATCCTACTCAATTGTCCCCCATAACCACAAAAAAGGCACTATTTTTAGTTTCAATAAACTAAATTTTAGTTGTTGGCATTTCAAGTACTCAATTTTACACTGGAAAATGTATATTTCATTTTCCTATATCAAATATATAAAACATGATCTGAGTTCAAAGCTGAAAAAGTTAGACAACAAAATCATGTTTATATAATAGAATACGACAGAATATTTATTTGCACGTATTTATAAGTTGCTAGATGTATGAATAATAAAAACACAATCATACGTCAGGAAGTAACTCTGTGACACATGTGTGTATGGTGTGTGGAGGGGGGATGTGGGAGAGGAAATACATGGTAAATTACCAGAATTACATAAATTCCATTCCTTAGAAGAAAGCAGTGATGCCAACCCAAAATTTTGCTAATCAGTAATTTTTTTGCCAAATTTGCAGATTTCAGTAATTTGATGGGACCTTTCAATACTGAACCTTACAAGGCATTATTTTGACAAACATTATCTTTTAAACAAGCTGAGAACATAAAAAAAAATCAAATGTGGATTACTTTTCTCATAAAATTCACCTACTCTGGGACCACCTACTTTAGGTTCATCTACTTTATGTTTTTTACTTGGTGGTTCAGTCATATCCACGTTCAAACACAGTGTCAGTAAGAGATAAATCGGCACAGACTTGGTATTGAACATTCATGTTTAGTGCAGTGAAGTGATCACCATTTGCACTGCAGTCTCGCTTAACCCAAATTTCAATGTATGCAATATGTACACAATATTGTAGCGGGCGTAGTTGCAAGTAATTAGGTCGTCTATGCGAGACCAGTGAGCCCTGCTAGAGCTATGAGGACAATCAGAAGTGGCGGGAAAATCGGGATTTTCAAAAATGGACTTCAAATTTTTTTTCTGTAAAATTGCAATATCGCCTCCTACAGCTGTAATGATTGGCACCTCTGAGAAAAAGGCAAGAAAACATGAGAGTATCATTGGCCACATGAGAGGAGGGCCTACAAGGGGAATTGGGGTATGGGGGTAATTTTGTGGTGGGGCTTGAAACTTGCTGAATAGTACCAGAAATATTTATAGACACTATATACAACTCATTCATAACATGGACAAAAGCTTCAGATTTTGACAGTCCTTGCACAACTGTGGAGAACAGTAAAGACTGCACATTGTGTCCAAAGCACCAATCATGACCAAATAAGACTATAGAGGTTAAAGACATAGAGAAGAACAATATAACATTTGTAAGCTATTGATATCAAGAAAACGAATTTAGAATTGAAAATTAAGTTTTTTCTAATAATATATAATTAAGTACAGTTCCATGAGAATCGTATCCAACACCATTCTGAAAGTTCGCAAGAGAATCAACATACCCTGAGGTAAAAGTGAAAAAAAATAAATAAAATTTGTAAAAGTGGATATGGACATATAAGACTTACAATGTGCCTGAAATAACTGTTCACTGTAATAGGGAAGTTTTCTGTATGGAAGTCATATCCCGTAAATCAACTTTCAAATAAAAAAATATACAAAAATATAGATCTATGTAGAGGTAAACTTAAATCCCAGCACAAAGAAATTCACTGTCACATTTCTGGTGGCATCAATTTACTTCATAGTAAAAATTTGAGGGTAAGAAACCCTAATGAGTACTTCAATTATTACAATTTACATGTGTAATCAACCAAGTCAAATATACAGTTTAATGTCTAAATAAATCTAAACTACACAAAGGAGCCGAGACATACCTTCTTGAGGCGGTGTAGTTACTGTAAAGGCAGTAGATACATGTCCCGTCCAGCCAGGGTGTTGATAGACGTTGACCATCCATCCCAGCCCCGTCAGGAATTCAAGGAAGTGAGGGTGAACAGTGTTGGATGAAACCTGAGGGCAAATTCAGAACTTTAAAAACTCATCCATTCATTCAATCTCTCTCTCTCTCTCTCATTTCTCTCTCTCTCTTTCATTTCTCTCTCTCTTCTCTCTTTCACTTCTCTCTCTCTCACTCTCTCATTTCTCTCTCTCTCTCACTCTCTCATTTCTCTCTCTCTCTCTCTCTTTCATTTCTCTCTCTCTCTCTCTCTCTCTCTCTCTCATTTCTCTCTCTCTCACTCTTTCATTTCTCTCTCTCTCTCACTCTCTCGTTTCTCTCACTCTCTCGTCTCTCACTCTCTCGTTTCTCTCACTCTCTCGTTTCTCTCACTCTCTCGTTTCTCTCACTCTCTCGTTTCTCTCACTCTCTCGTTTCTCTCACTCTCTCGTTTCTCTCACTCTCTCGTTTCTCTCACTCTCTCGTTTCTCTCACTCTCTCGTTTCTCTCACTCTCTCGTTCTCTCACTCTCTCGTTTCTCTACTCTCTCGTTTCTCTCACTCTCTCGTTTCTCTCTCTCTCGTTTCTCTCACTCTCTCGTTTCTCTCTCTCTCTCTCTTCACTTCTCTCGTTTCTCTCTCTCTCTCTCTCTCACTCTCGTTTCTCTCTCTCTCTCTCACCTCTCGTTTCTTCTCTCTCTTCTCTCTCACTCTCTCGTTTCTCTCTCTCTCTCTCTCTCACTCTCTCGTTTCTCTTCTCTCTCTCTCTCACTCTCTCGTTCTCTCTCTCTCTCTCTCTCACTCTCTGTTTCTCTCTCTCTCTCTCTCTCACTCTCCCTCTCTCGTTTCTCTCTCTCTCATCTCTCTCTCACTCTCTCGTTCTCTCTATTCTCTCTCTCTCTCTTCTCTCTCTATCTCTCTCTCTCTCTCTCTCTCTCTCTTCTCTTCTCATCTCTTCTCTCTCTCTCTCTCTCTCGTCTCTCTCTCTCTCTCTCGTTTCTCTCTCTCTTCTCTCTCTCTCGTTTCTCTCTTCGTTTCTCTCTCTCGTTTCTCTCTCTCGTTCTCTCTCTCGTTTCTCTCTCTCGTTTCTCTCTCTCGTTTTCTCTCTTCTCGTTTCTCTCTCTCGTTTACTCTCTCTCGTTTCTCTCTCTCGTTCTCTCTCTCGTTTCTCTCTCGTTTTCTCTCTTCTCGTTTCTCTCTCTCGTTTCTCTCTCTCGTTCTCTCTCTCGTTTCTCTCCTTCGTTTCTCTCTCTCTTTCTCTCTCTTGTTTTACTCTCTCTCGTTTCTCTCTCGTTTCTCTCTCGCCGTTTCTCTCTCTCGTTTCTCTCTCTCGTTTCTCTCTCTCGTTTCTCTCTCTCGTTTCTCTCTCGTTTCTCTCTCTCGTTTTCTCTAACTCTCGTTTTTCTTTCTCTCGTTTCTCTCTCTCGTTTTCTCTCTCTCGTTTCTCTCTCTCGTTTCACTCTCTCT